AGCACCACAAGGCACAAGGTCGTTAGGGAAACAAAAAATCCACTGGATCCACCATAGTGAGGCAATGACAGCATAAAGGACAGAAGCGAAAGGAAACAACTCCAATTACTACATACAGTAAAAAGGTTTAGTTTTGCAAAGATCTTTTAATTATTTATTTAATACTTGTATACCAATTGGAATCTATTGTCATGAATAATTTTGAATTTTCAAATTCCAAGAGGCCATTAGGGAAACAGCAAATCTACTGGATCCACCATAGTGAGGCAAGGACAACATAAAGGACAGAAGCGAAAGGAAACAACTCCAATTACTACATACAGTAAGAATGCTTAGTTTTGCAAAGATCTTTTAATTATTTATTTAATACTTGTATACCAGTTGGAATCCATTGTCATGAATAATTTTGAATTTTCAAATTCCGCACCTACCCTCGAAAAGTTGGATTCCAACTGGTATACAAGTATTAAATAAATAATTAAAGATCTTTGCAAAACTAAACCTTCTTACTATATGTAGTAATTGGAGTTGTTTCCTTTCGCTTCTATCCTTTATGCTGTCCTTACCTCACTATGGTGGATCCAGTANCTTATAGGACTCCGCCGGCACCTTATGAGAAATCAAAGTTTTTGGGTTCCGTGGGGTGAAACGGGGTCATTCTAGGCAACAAGATACCATCGCAACAGGTATACAACACAGGGAACCGAACGTGAGATGGTCGAATGCGAGATTCGATCATCCAATGAACAGGTATGAAGAGGATGTTGTCGCTGCCTCAGCAGGGATCCAACGTACCCAAACAAGCCAATCGCAACTCACGTGCTTTACGTACACATCAACCAAGCAAAACACACCACATGTTGTGCGAAACGAGAGTTCACAAAACATGCGACAAGCTAAGCCCAATCGTGTCCCGCTACGCACGTTAACAAGATTATCAAGACAGCAATCGAATTTTGTCGAGAAATGACGGGTCACAATTGCAAGCACCTGCTGCACTGCCCAACACGGCGAGCCCGAGGGGCACTGCACGCATTGAACAATATTTTTTTCGGTGCCCACGTTTTGCTTATCCAGCCCGTGTTGGCAAGGAGCCGAAGCGTCGCAGCTCGAGGTTGGAGTGCGATGACAGTTACAATTGCGGCACCAAACACATCGATTTGCACGCCGCGCCCGAGGGACGCCGTACGTACTTACCCTCGATGATGCCTTATTTCGATGCCCACGTTTTGGTCCTCCTGTCGTCTAAATGAAGCAACAATTGAATCCAAGCCAAGACGGGCCGCACGCTGTGAGCATCGGCATGCACGGGGGCAGGGCACGCACTGAACAATTTTTTTTTTCGGTGCCCACATTTTGCTTATCCAGCAGGCGAGAAACCCAATCTCCAGCAGAGAAACTCACGAACTTCAATATAGTACCCAAATAATTTAATTTTCACTCGTAAAAGTAAAAACCAAACAGAGAGAAAACAATCTAATTTAATTCCCACCAAGATTGGAGAAATTAAAACCAGACATAGTAGAGCAGGGAGAAAGTCAAGGCACTAACAGTGGATTTTCTCTCACTAGAAAGTTGAGAGCATCTCTCTCTAACCAAGACTTGACTGAGAGCTCGATTGAGAGCTCTTTCTTGAAGTGGTACACAATATTTGAGATTTTGAGGTCAGGGGTACCAAACAATTCATCCTATGTAAGAAGTTGAAATTATTAAAGGGTGAACTGAGGAGATTCAATGAAAAACACTTTTCTCATATTTATTCAGCATGGCTACTTCTAAGTTGAAAGAAGCTCAACTGGAGTTACATGATGATCCATGTAATGAGGATCTACAATGTAAAGTTGCAGATTGAGGAAAAAGTCTAGGGACTTGGGTGAAGCGGAAAGGAGTTTTTACTCCCAAAAAGCTAAATTTGAGTACCTTGTTAAAAGTGATAAGTGTACTAAATTTTTCCTCTCCATAGTTCAAAGGAATGATAAAAGGAACTTTATTGCTAAAATCTCTAAGGAGGATGGTACCTATACTTCATCTTTAGAAGAAGTGGCAGAGGAATTTGTGAAATTCTACAGTGATATTATGGGAAAAGAAAGGCTAGGAACACCAATTTGTGATGATATCTTAAGGGGTGGACCTAGACTATCGGATGAGAATGCTTCAACTTTGATTAAAGACATTTCGGCCTTATTCTCTATTGGGGATGACAAATCATAGGGGTCGGATGGTTTCTCTTCTTGTTTTTTCAAAAAGGCATGGAACATTGTAAGTAAAGATTTTATGGCGGTGGTGTTGGAATTCTTCAATGCTAGTAAACTACTCATCAAACTAACCACACGGTTATAGCTTTGGTACCAAAGGCAAATCATGCTAACTCCGTTGGGGATTATAGGCCTATTACTTTTGTAATGTGTTCTATGAGGTTATCACCAAGATCATTGCATCTATGTTGGGGCCTTTGCTTGGTCCTATTATTGACCAAGCTCAAGCCGCTTTTGTGGAGGGAAGAAGTATGGTAGAGAATATTCATCTTGCTCAAGAACTTCTAAGATAATATAACCGTAAGAGGGTGGCATCTGCCTTCTTAAGGTTGACCTTAGAAAAGCTTATGATTCGGTGAATTGGGAGTTTCTTTGTAGGGTGCTTGAGGGACTTGGCTTCCCAACAAAATTTATTGGATGGGTTATGGAATGCATCTCATCACCCACATATTCTGTTGGGTTTAATGGTGGGCTATATGGATACATAAAGGGAAAAAGGGGTCTTCGTCAAGGTGATCCTCTCTCTCCCTTTTTGTTTGTGATATGCTTGGAATATTTTTCAAGGATGCTAAAGAATATGACGGAGGGTAGTGAATTCAATTATCATCCTAAATGTGGCCCTTTGAAGATTACTCACCTTGCATTTGCCGATGATTTGATGCTTTTTGCTAGAGGAGACCCTATCTCGGTTGGTATTATGATGGAGTGTCTTAATAAATTTAGGGACATGTCGAGACTTCAGATGAATGTTAGTAAGTCCAACTTGTATACGGCGGGAGTGCATGGACAAGATTTGAATGATATTTACCAAACTACTAAAATGGCTAAGGGATCTATGCCATTTCGGTATTTGGGTATCCCACTTGCGGCGGAGAAATTAAAAGTTAGTTCGTATGACTTGTTCATCAATAAAATTTCGGGATACATTGGAGCATGGTCTAGGGCCACTTTATCCTATGCGCGGAGGGCGGAGCTTATTAAGGCGGTACTTCAAGGAGTGGAATGCTTTTGACTATCTATCCTACCTATTCCGTCTACGGTGATCTCTAAAATTATTGCTATTTGTCGGAACTTCCTGTGGGGATCGAAAAAACCTGGAGTAAGGTATGTTTACCTAAAAGTGAGGGGGGCTTGGGCTTTCGAGATATGAAGTGCTGGAACCTTGCACTCTTGGCTAAAACTTTGTGGAATATCGATATCTAATGCAAAAAGGATACTCTATGGGTTAGGTGGATTAATCATGTTTTCTTACATGATTGTAATATCTGGGAATATATGGGAAGGAAGGATGACTCCCCATTAATCAAAAAATTACTGGAACTTAGGGGGCTGATTAATCTGACCGAAGGAAATAATGGTGCTGGGCTGATTTCCCAACAAGCACTTGGACACAGGCTGTCTTACTCACTGGAATTGCAGCACAGACAGGTTAATGCAGGGACCAGTGGATACACGCAAGTTGAGCCTCACGTTTATGGGCAGACAGAAATGAGAAATCAGTTTTCGGCAGCCTCTGAATGCACGTGTACAGTCTCAAAACCAGAACACACAGATGGGTATTCGGGCAGGACAGGTTCGACTGGACAGCTGGGGTTTTTCCGGTTGCTTCAGCATCAAAATGGCTTACGAATTTTTCAGGAAAAAGGCACCTAAAACAGTATGGGCAGGTACTATCTGGAATTCTGCGATAACTCCTAAACATGCTTTCATTTTATGGTTAGCTGCACAGTCAAAACTGCTTACTAAAAACAAACTGTTGTTTCTTGATATTGATAAAAAATGCTGTTTTTGTAATGATGATGTCATGATGAGGAGACGGAACAACATCTTTTCTTTGATTGTCAATTTACTGCCTCAGTATGGGAACAAGTTCGACGATGGCTTGGGATTAGACGCTCCATGTCTACACTTCCAAGTGCATTGAAATGGATGATAAAAGAAGCGAGGGGAACGACTTGGCATAGTAAGGCAAAGAAGATCGCCCTTGCAAGTACCGTGTACCAAATATGGATGGCAAGGAATATGAAATTTTTTGAAGATCTCAACACACAAGTTGGTAGCGTGGTTAGACGGATTAAAACACAGATTTACAAAGTTATGTTTACTTTGTATCCGCATGTTTTAGATCTTTATGAGTCTCTAGCACTTGTTTTGTAATTGAGATTTGTTCCTATTTTGTTTAGCCGGGTATGCCCGGTATTTGATGTTTTTGGCACTTTGATCCATTGTTGTTCGATTTCTCGCATGGGAATGTCCGATGTATGTGTATACAAGTTTTGATCAATACAATTAATTATTTACCGATTAAAAAAAAAGTAGAGTGACTATAACGTGACAAAGTACAAATTGATCAATGGAATGCCCGGTATCTGATGTTTTTGGCACTTTGATCCATTGTTGTTCGATTTTTCGCATGGGAATGTTCGATGTATGTGTATACAAGTTTTGATCAATACAATTAATTATTTACCGATTAAAAAAAAAAAGTAGAGTGACTATAACGTGACAAAGTACAAATGGATCAATGGAACTTTTTATTCTTAGATAACTTCCCCATCGCCCCCCAACGCGTTGTCTCATCAAACGATCATGCTATGGGTACCAAGTTCGGTGTCCATGATAACACATGGATGCGCTATTGGAGGCGCCTGCGAGCCCATTTCCGTGTGTCCATTGTGGGAGCATTTCCCCTCATCAAATATTTGAACCCTTCACGGATTGTACGTCGAAGGAGAAACCATAGCCATGGAGAGGGAGAAATCGAGCCGTAGACACAGAGATTCCGGTTCGCAAAAAGATAGAGAATCATCCAAAGACCACTATAAACACCACCACCACCGTTCGAAGCACCGAGATGTTGAAGATGACCGCCACCGATCTGACGACCATTACCACAAGCGTCGCGAGCATTCTATCGACTTCGAGAAATCAATTGACCATAGACATGAACGAGAGGGAAGCAGAGATCGAGAAAATAGGCACAGGCGTGAGAAATCTTATGAGGAGAGGACTTGCGAAAGAGAGGACTCCGTGGAGAGAAAGTTGTCGGAAAAGAGGAAAGTGAGAGAGGAGAGCGAGGAAATGAATGGCAGAAGTGGGGATGAGAAGAGAGCTAGGGTTCCGGAAGAAAACGGGAGGGTAAGTCGAAGATTTGAGGATAATAAGGTGAAGGAGGAGGAACATTTGGAGTATGCTAAAGAGAGGAAAGATGAAAGTAGTTCTGGGCGTGAAAATCAGCCAATTGACAGCGGCCAGAGTAATGGGACTGGTCGAATTGATACAGTAAGTTCCTGTTTGCCTTTTCCATTGTCACTCGCTCTTTATATTTGTTGGTTGTGTGTCTATGTAATCGCTTTTGATGCTAGTTTTAATCAACGTTGCCTAAAGGTGAAACTGTGAAGTGATGCTTTGATATCATCGGCAAACGGTACACACAAGTAATTGTCTATGTGAGTTTATGGGCACGAATGTAGGATGTGGGTTTTCTGTGCTACTCTTGTCTGTGTTAATACCGTGCAAGTAAAAGCTGAAGTCTGTGCAATAGTCAATACTGCTGCTTTCATATACTTTTATTTATCTAACCATAAATTAATAATTTTTGCTAAGAAAATTAAATACTGCATACACGGGAAGTTGGGAATTTAGTATGTTAAGGAATTGATATTTTTTGATGCAATCCTTATTTAATCATGCCCGTAGATACACAGCAAAGTGATTGTGTCTGGTAGCGGCAATAGCGAATTGATTGCGGGAGTTTTCTATGAAAAAGTTCTCTTAGATTCTATATTCAGTTACTGGATAGTTAAGGTGATGTCAAGTGTTCTTGTGGCACATGCTTATCAATAGAACATTATTGTGCTAATGCATTAGGTCCTTTTTTCCTCATGCCCTGTATGGTTATGTTTAATCGTTAAAATATGGACAAACTGATTGCAGGCTAGACATCTGAACTCATGGTGTTGGAAACACTTTTTATGACTAGAAAAGAAAGCCAAAAGGATCTGGTAGAATTGATGTCATACCAGGTTCTTTGTAATATCCTAAAGAAATACTGGTAGTCAGGTTTAGAAGTTGATTAGAACAATATAATAGATATAAAAGCTTCGTTATATGTATTTCAGAAAAGAGAACTAGGAACTTGTATGATGGAAGACTTTGTAAATACAGTTGTAGAACCACAGAAATAAACTCTGCAGAGTCAGCCAAAACTCTATAGGGAATACTGATCTGAATCAGACATTAGGTATTCTCAGCAATAAGAGGCACATAAAACATCTAGGCGCCATTTCCATACTTTTTCAGTTATGAAATTATAGGGAGACAACTGGGAAACAAAGAGACGTGCTCTGAAGAAAGTGAACTTTGAGTCCAGATGCTGTAAAGAGTTAAATTTTATTAACTTGTCTAGATTGATTTGAGATTCAGTATACCTAAATAAGACATGTTGGACACCTGTACAATCCAATGACTGCTTAATCTCACTAAATGATAACGATCACTAGAAACCATGTTAATTTTATAAATGAATTTGGTTATCATTAATCTAAATATAGATGTGGGACGCTTGATTATGATAAAATCAAGTTCCAAAAAAATGTTTTTCTTGAATGCTTCTGATTTATGTTTTAATTTCAAATTTTTGGTCCATGTGGTTTTAAAATTGAAGAACAAGGTTAAATAGGTAATCATCATCTATGAAGTACGGACATGTCGGAAAGGCCAAGTGTCGGTGTCTTGACACGCTCCGGACACGTGTTGGAAACACCACCTGGTGTGTCCCTCTTTTTATTTCCTTCATTCAAGCAGTCAACACGCCGACAAACACGGCTGACACGTTTCTCAAGAAAACAGGAGAAATTTTAAAGATATAGATGAACTCAGCTCATTTGGTGGAGAAAATGCCAGTCAGGGGAGAGGGAGAGGGAGAAACAGATCTGAAACATTTGAGGGTACGGTAAGTAGGGGTGGATCTGTGAAGTGGGAGAGGAAGAGGAGGATGGATGAATCTGGACAAATTGGTACTTTTGTTTTAATGTTTGTTTCAATTTGGGAATATGGGCTTTTATTCTTTTTGGGTCAAAAAGGTAATTGAGCTGCTAAAAAGACTTTTATTGACCCAGGACGAGATGCTTGCGGAAGATTAACTTTAATTGCAAAAAGGTCTATGTAGTTTTAATTTTAATTACAAAAAGATCCATGGAACTTTAATGACTGGAAAAAAAAAATAAAAAGTGTTCGTACTGTATAAAAATTAAATATATTTAAATATTATTTTAATCGGTGTGTCCCCACGTGTAATGCTCTTTTTGAAAATTTGCATGTGGGAGTGTGTAAGTTGTGTCGGACACAACACGCTTCCATGGTGGTACTTCATAGATTAGTATGTTCTGAAGAGAAGTAATAAATTTAAAAATAGCTTCCTTTGGGAATCTCTTCATTTTTCTCGCATCTAAATCATTTGTTAATTGCGATAAGGTAATCAAGTGCTCTAACACTGATTATTAACTCTGCATAAGTGGAAACTTGGAATACAGTACACATTTGTTTTTTTGTTTGGTCGTGCATGCAGTGTGCATGCACAGAACGAGATCCTTGATTATTTTGCCCTCTTCCATTTGGTCATAAATACTGATGTTTCTCAATATCACTTTTATGTACTTCATCTATAGTTTCATTTTGGATGATTGTAACTCTATGTTCTTGGTATCTTTTACATAGCTGGTTTTCTCTAAACTTGAGGTGGCATTTTCCATTGAGTTCTATTTTCAGCAGAATAATTGCTAATCAGTACGAAAGCCTTTTTAAGTACTCAGCCAATTCACTTAAATGCACTTGTTAGGTGTGTTACTGCTTTGAACAGAGATACTATTGTCCTTTCTTGGCGGCTACTTTGAGTTCGGGGGTGGATCCTGAAATGAACGCTGATGCTGATTTTGATGTGACATGTTTGCCTTGAAATGCTCAAGGCCTTGTTTGAGCCCCATTTTTCTCTAAACTCATTTTCAATCATACATTCTTCCATAAAATAATTTTACACGTAAACCCAAAACTTTTCCTATTTTTTAATCAGACATTCTCCAAAAAACTCACTATTTCAAAACACGTTTCCCCCAAAAATGGGGCTCAAACAGGGGCTAAAATCAAAAGTTTTAGCTGAAGAATCTCTAACTTTTTCTTCTTATACATTTCGTTGATTGGCTGGATTTTAAAAAAATTCATGTGCTTCCAGGGTGATGCGACTGGACCTCTTGCTATGCAATCAAGCATGATACCTGACATTTTTGGGAATCACAGTCATTCTTCTGCTACCAAGGTGTCTTCCATTTATACTAGAAATGAAAATAAGGGAGTTAATATTAGCAGATCTCATGAGGTTCCTGATAAATTGAGTACAGATGGGACAGCTTCAGATGCTGGAAAGAGTGGGGGCTTATCCCTTGATGCGTTAGCAAAAGCCAAGAGAGCTTTACAAATGCAGAAGGAGCTTGCGGAAAGGATGAAGAAGATTCCTTTGGTAAGCAAGTTAGATGTTGGGCATCTTTAGATGCTCAATATCCTCCCTCCTATTTTTTTATTTGTTACATTGGTTAAAATAGATGCTGGAATAGCAGGAGATGATGATAAGTTATATACGCTTTTCACTTTTATGCCATTTCTAAATTGTCCCTTTCCCCTTTGTAGTTGAACAAAACTGCTGGCTCAACAAGAGAGGGTAGTCTACAAAAGGGTCAAAAGGAAGCTGTTAAAGTCCCACCCTCCAGTAAAGGTTTATCGTCAACTCCTGTTGCTTCAGCAACTGAACCAGGTGTTTCTGCTGGAGTAAATCCAAGCACAACTACTTTACCTGCTGTTGCTTCTGCTTCTGTGAACCCACCAAGTGGCTTACCTCATCTGACTGGGCTTACAACGCAAAAATATGAAGCTGTAAAACGTGCACAGGAGCTGGCTGCCAAGATGGGGTTTCGACAAGATCCAGAGTTTGCTCCCCTGATTAATATGTTTCCAGGGAAGATGTCCCCCGATGTTACCATGCAGCCAAAGCCTGCTAAAGCTCCTGTTCTTCGTTTGGATGCCCTAGGCAGGGAAATTGATGAGCATGGCAATGTGGTGAATGTTCCGAAAGTGAATAACTTGAGCACCCTAAAGGTATATGCAACCATATTGATTTTTTATATTTTTCATTTCTTGCTTTTACTTACTCTTCACATATATACCTTACAGGTAAACATCAACAAGCAAAAAAAAGATGCTTTCCAAATTCTAAAACCTGAACTTGAGGTGGATCCTGAGAAAAATCCTCATTTTGATGCAAAGATGGGAATTGACAAGACTAAGCTTTTGAGGCCTAAAAGAATGACTTTCCAGTTTGTTGAGGAAGGCAAATGGTCAAAAGATGCTGAAATCATTAAGCTGAAGGTAATCTTTTTTCTGTGTACTTATTTATGTAATTCCGCTTTTCATTTTTATCGTGGTCTGATTGTTGTTTACATCTTCTTGCATAGTCTCAATTTGGGGAAGCAAAAGCCAAGGAACTGAAGGTAAAGCAAGCACAGCTGGCAAAGGCAAAGGCAGAGCCAGTTATGAACCCGAATTTGATAGAAGTAGGTGAAAGGATTATCACCAAAGAAAAAAAGAGGGATCCAATACCCGAGGTGGAGTGGTGGTAAGTTGGCCTTGCATTTTGACGGGCTTAGGATTTTGGATATTTTGTTTGGACTTCTTTTTTGTGTTGTCTATTGGAAAAAAAATGTTTTTAGAAACTTGGTAAGATATTGCAATATCAACTGGAACCATAGCAGATATTATGTACTTCTGTTTGTTGCCCTATTGCTGTTTGAAGCGTTTTAAAAAACCTTACTGGATAGTTTCTTCTGTTGTAAGCAGTGGAATTTTAAGCATATTTGTTACCTTTGTGCGCCAATCTATGCAATTGCAAACACACAACCGTAGCTTTATATGTGAGTTTCTCTTTCCCATTTTTTCTCTCCTGTGCGAGGAGAGAATAATAATCTTGAAGGGCTGTAAAGATTGTAATCTTTCCTTCATTAGGTCTTGCTGATGGGGAAAGGGTAGAAAAGTTTTTATCCTGTTGTTAGTTGGTTGTCAAATTTGGGACAAGAATAAATATCTATTTGATTGTCATAATCACGTGTTTGTGCTTCTCTAATATTTTTTTCTTCTGATTCGCAGGGATGTGCCCTTTCTACAACATGGTAATTACGGTGATATTGCTGATGCTACTGTAACTGAAGATAAATTGAAAATGGAAAAAATTACCATATATGTTGAACACCCACGGCCTATTGAACCTCCTGCTGAAGCAGCTCCTCCTCCACCTCAACCTTTGAAGCTAACCAAGAAAGAACAGAAGAAACTCCGCACCCAGCGTCGTTTGGCTAGGGAGAAAGAGAAACAGGAGATGATTAGGCTAGGTGTGGTAGAGCCACCAAAACCAAAAGTCAAAATGAGCAATCTTATGAAAGTTCTTGGTTCAGAAGCAACCCAGGATCCCACTAAGCTTGAAATGGAAATCAGAAGTGCTGCCGCCGAGCGTGAACAAGCTCACATCGACAGGAATGTTGCTCGTAAGCTCACTCCTGCAGAGCGCCGTGAAAAGAAAGAGAGAAAGCTTTTTGATGACCAAAGTATGCTAGAAACTGTAGTGTCAGTTTACAAGATCAATGATCTGTCGCACCCTCAGGCCCGCTTCAAGGTTGACATTAATGCCCGGGAGAATAGGCTGTCTGGATGTGCTGTGATTTCAGAAGGGATAAACGTCATCGTCGTCGAAGGTGGTGCCAAATCTATCAAGAGATACGGGAAGCTTATGCTTAGGAGGATAGACTGGACTGCTACTGTCGAGAAAGAAGAGGAGAATGAAAATGATGACGAGGATAAACCTGCGAATAAATGTGTGCTTGTCTGGCAGGGGAGTGTTGCTAGACCAAGCTTTAATAGATTTTTTGTCCAAGACTGCAGAACTGAAGCTGCTGCATACAGATTCTTTTCAGATCATGGGGTTGCCCATTATTGGGATCTTGCCGTTAATTTCACTGAGGAACAAGATTGATCTGACAGTTCATTTTGAACCTACATGTCTACATGAATGAATACCTGAAATTTCTACTTTTTGAGGTACAATTTTGTTGTCATTCATAACCAGAGTGTACTGGTTGAGAGTTCTAATTGTGATATACTTGCTTCGACCTACATGATAAAATTGTACAAAAAAAACCAAACGTTGTATCTTGTAGATTATATTACATGTACTCTTTTCTTTCCCCTTTTCTGAATTCTGCTAAATTTTCATAATAATAGATGATTATGTTTTAGTACTTCTGATTGGAATTTGATAATTGTGTTTCCATAATGCTTACAACAGAGGTAGTTTCTAGTTAGTTATTCCCGGCCTCTATTTCTAGTCTTTCTAATTGTCAGTGTCATTGCGTACTTCGTCAAACTGTCAAATTCTTTTGTTTTACATTATATGCCCATTGATGTGCAGCATACTTCATTCAGTGCCAACACGTGGCAGAATTTCAGTGTCGTCTTGCATTAAGACCGTATCATACTAGCTATATGCTTGTGGTAAATAATGCACTGGGACATGTTACGAAGTATTAGATATTTATGGTTTGAAACCTGCAGTAGGATGATGCACTGCCTCAAATTTAACTGTACAGGACTTTATTGTTTCTGCACTTGGCCCTATGAGATCTGTTCCTGAAATGTGCACTAGGATGAACAAAAACATGGTAGTTTGCATAAAATAGTAATAGCATTGGAAATATTGCTGAGCTGTTTGGTATAAGGGTTGGATAGCATTGGATACATATTTAATCAACGGGTGCTGATTATACGAGGGAGGTTGCACTGCTACCCAAGAGAGGATGGAAAAACAAAAAGCTGGAAATAAGAGGGATTATGCAATCTTGTTCTCCATTGAACTAAGATTTTGATCTGCCAATGTATGGGTACTAGCGAAGAAACAAGAATAGGTTCGAGTTTAAAGCATCTTGAATTCAAGTATTGCATCCTTCATCCATGAAGACTGCATATGCACATCTTGGTTGAGATCTTCAAGGAGTCCCTGCAGAAAACTTGAATTGAAATACACTCGAAGTTATGCCTCATTCGACGAGGCTTTAAACATTGGCAATGTGGTAGACAATATGGCATACAGATAATAAACCAACTCAGGCCCGCACTTCACGTCACATCCTACCTGACCTAGTTATGCTATTAAACTTGGGTAATCAAAGTGATGCACCACCTGAGACAAGGTGCCACAACCTACTGCAGTGCAATTCTGAAGAGATTTGCCTTTAAATCCACAAAAACATCTTCTCGCTTCACCTCTTCCGAGAGATCTTCCAGACAAAATCTCATTAGTGATGGATTGATGTGCAATTCCAAAGAGATTAGCCTTTAAACCCAGAAGACATCTTCCCGCTTCATCTCTTCCTAGAGATCTTCCGTCCAAGATCTTCTAAGTGATTGATTGATTTGATATCTTTGTATGAGGCACATCTCTGTCAACTTAGTTTATTTTTCAGATGTCAAACCTAAGTTATAAGGTGATCACTTTTCAGAATCATTAAATGCCCTCTGAATTTGGGATTACATGAGTGATTCCTAGAAGAAGACACTTGACTGTTATGATGAGGTCATGTGTCTTTCATTCACCGCAATCACTTCACCTCTTTTATTATAAAAATTCATATTTAGTGTCATTTGAAAGTAATACAATTTTATACTCTCAATAGTATTATTGCTCACTTTTATTGTTTTCTCAACAACTCGACACCCGTACACATACTTGTGGCTCATGTCTTCCATTTATCCCACACCCAAATATACAAGTTGACTGATTTAATCGTCGAAGTGCTTGCGGCATCCTTCCACACCACCGGAGAAGACCACGTGCTTTTAATGGCTTGTTCAAATGTGTAGGAGCCTTATGTGTGGACGTAAATGGAGGCAAAATATGTTGGCTACATCATCTGCCAGAAATCGAGGTCAACACTCAAGAAATCCCCTGTGGTAAGCAGAAATATCATTAATCTAATTGCTTCAGTAAAAAGGGAAGCTTACTCCTCATTCTGTGGGTAAGTAATTCTTTACTTCAAAATGGTTGAGAACCGAAGGATGCGTGAGGGCAGCTCGGAAAAGAATGATCAGGTGAGTTTATTGGGAGTGCTTCCTTTTACAATACACCATTAGATCATCTCCACAACAACAATGTGGATTGTTGTACATGTGACAAGCAAAATGAGGGATGGAGAGAAGAACATCTCTAATGGGATTGTGAATTGATAAAATTGTGAGTCATATATACAAGAGAGAGAATGTGAGAGTGGAAATAAATTATATAAAAAAAATTAAATGAAGATTGTCTAGCACATATCCTCCATTTCTTTCGCTTTCCTTTCACATCGATCAACCAATGCCCTTTCTTTCTTCGGTGAGTTGTTGGGAATTTACTTAATCATGCACAGCGGAAATAAAACAATTTTCAATTCCCAAACAGGATCTGCAATGTGTTTAGATAGAAACTGTGATTAGGATTAATACATTTGATGAATTCCACAAACTCTTTTACTTTTTCTTGAACTCCAATGATCACGATCTGCAATCCAAGCTGTCCAATTGTCCAGCCTCCAATGGTGATCCACACAGAGAACAAGAATGACGGCTAGGGTTTCTTTTCTTGTGCTAGCAAGAATAATAAAAATCCCATACATTTTTCAAACCCTAGTAGTCTATTAATATAAGTCCAGATGGGCTCGGCCCATCTATTAAACTTAACCCGGTCCAAGATTTAATTAATCAAATTAATTAAATCTGGTCCATGAATTAATTAATCTAATTAATTAATTCGGGCCTATTAATAAACAACCCAATTAATTAATTATCCAACACTTGTCAATTAATTAATTGGTAAATCTCATTCTTCTGATTCTCTTTTGTGTGTGACCCATTAGGTTCCCGATCACGATGCCGAACGACGTGAATTATTATTTTGATCTAATCAAAATCAATAAATTAAAACGCCCCTTTTAATTTATCACTAATTCATTTTCGTTGTCCCAGATTGACATCTAGCAATGTATCAGGGCAATACATGTGACGGGAAATATCACGTAGCATGACAAAACCAAACTTGTTCGTTTACCGTGAAACTATAATCCTTTCGTCAATATGATCCGATCAATTATGAGATATGGATATGTGTCAATCTCAATTATCGATCATATCTTTTATCCCACTGTTAAGTCAATGTACGTCGAAAACTCTTTTCCGACTTATGAGTTCACCTTGGCCAAGGATTTCATTATCAACTTAACTGGATAAAATGTAGATCATAATCTCTTACTATCTAAGAGTGACGAATCCTCTATTGATCATTCACAACCTTCATATGATTCTTGACATACCCGAACGATGCTGTATTAGCGACCCTTGACAGAGCAACATCCAACATCACCAAAGTATGACTGCCCTCATATAAGGTACTATGATGACCTCAAGTCAAAGGACCAATTCCACTACCGAACGTTAGAGATTAACCACTAACACTTAGATAGTTATCCATGTGGAATCTCTCAGCGGGTCTCCAATGTTTTGTTCTATAACAAAACATCCACGTGTTCATTCAAGTGTCACCACACTTTAGCTTGTGAGATCAGCTACTTACTTCACAAGTAAGAATGCCACACGCGATAGTCTATCCGTAATAACGATATCCGTATCTCGTTATTACTTCGACCACGGACGATTTAAGATTCAGTCATATGTAATTTGTATCTCACAATCACAACTCCTTGTGATTAACAAATCACCAAGACTTGAATCTACGGATTCTATTATTTAATTTATTAGAATATTAATTCAATTAAATAATAGATATTGCCATATATATGCATTGATTATATATATTCAAAGTGTTTATGTCCAAAATTGATTGGACCTAGGGCATAACACTTACATGAGTTGCAAGAGGTTTTTTTTTATAGGAATAGATAAGGCAATGTAATTAGGAGGAATTCAGGATCGGTCATCGAGAGGGTAGCGGATGGAAATGACGGCCAGTAGAGATTACAACTAATGGAGATAGCTTTCTTGTATTTTGGATGAAATCTACATATCCATTGAAGATGCTCTTAGGGAAGGTCTCCCTAGATGAATGTCAAGACCTAGCTCAAGAGCGAAGCCTCACCCGACGATGACTAGGATTCGACTCTCCAATAAGGTAAAATCTTTTAATCGTCCTTCAAAAAAGATAAAAAAGCTCCCCCTAGATGAGGAGTGAAGAAAGTTTCCAGTGTATGTTGTTGTGTTGGTTTCTTGTGAGTAATGTGAAATAACGTTAAACGTGCTACAACATCATGTTCTACAAATTAACAAGCCATTCACCTAAATTTGGATATTTTATATGCAGAAGTAATATATTGAAGAACTTGTTGAAAATGTAGTTTCATAAGTCAGTATCTCAGGAGGCTGGGAGCTTAATGCACAAGGCAACAATGGAGCGTTTGTGTAGAGCACAAGGATACAGTATTCCCCCCAAATTAAATCATAGCCATGAAATTAGTTACTATAGAAACTAAATTTTGGGACCCGATAACTTTCTAGAAATTGCTTTGAACCACAATTTTAGAAGCAACAGAAATGTGGTAAATTTAATTTCTTATAGGGCCTGTTTGATAGCATTTGTTTTCCCTAGAACTAAGAATTTATTTTCCATTTTCTAACTTTTGCCTTGGTTGATGGGAGAAATTTTTCATGGAAATCATTTTCCAACTTTCCTTCACACGTGTACTTTTTCCTCTTTTTTGATGAATTTCCTTTCCCACCTTTTAGGTGGGTTTTGGTTTTCCTACTTTTTTTTTTTTTTGGACAATCGGAAAAAATTCTAAACACAATTGTAAGAAAAAATTATCACTTTTATTGATAACTTCCATACAAAACAAAGCCAAACGAATAGTATTCGGTATGGTAATATTTTATTATTATTTTTTTTTTTTACAATTGGAACAAATTCTAGACCCAATGGTAAAAAAAATTATT